TTATTATGTTAATATTCTGTTACTGCCTTAAATATATATTTTGGTAAATCTAGTGTCTTCAACACTTTGTATTATATCTTACATTATTCTAGCAGTATAGTCATTGAGATTAATCTGGTACATTAAGTGGATTTTCTTTAAAGTTTATTCAGAAATTGTTGATATTTTAAAGTGTATCCTTAGTATTTTTGCTGATAAAATATAAATATTGTCATTTCACATTGTACCATATTAACACTATAAACAGAATACTTTCAAGGTTAATAAGATTATAGCACTAGCCAATAGGTTCATACTTATTAACCTTGAAAGTATTCTGTTTATAGTGTTAATATGGTACCAAGTATGAACCTATTGGCTAGTGCTATAATCTTGTATCCCAGTTCTTTAATATACAAAATTGCATGGGGAAGCCTGGGAAACTTTCCAATCCGTAGTTTACATGTGCCCTATTGGATATATATTTGAAAGTGTACAGGTAATCCTCGAGGTACAGTTGTAATGGAACCTGCCCATTATGATGGTAACATTAAATGAGTCATGTTAAATGAACAAGCTCTATCCCTCCTTTCCCCAATGTATTCATTAATCAAATGTGCGGGTTCTTCAAGGTAGTGAAGACCATGGGGGATCTAGTTCAGGACCAGCTGCTTCTAGCCACTCAAGGCTTCCCCCCACCAATTGAGATATTTCATGCTCGCTTACCACCCCCTGGGGTCCCCATGGCTGCTTTGGCCTTCTCCACATCCACTTCCTATTACCAATTGGTCACTTACTTTTTGAAGATTTCCAAAGCTCCAGAACAGCAGAAAAACAGGTGACTTTTTCTCAGATGCTGGCGAAGCTTTTTTTTTTTTTTTTTTTTTTTTTAGATCTCACATTCTTACACCTGCTATTTTTTGCACACAGATGGACTCATCTGTGAAAACAAGAGATCTGTCACATCCCTGGAGGCCTGCTTTGGTTTCTCTGTGTGCTGCTGGGTAACTGATTCAATTGAGTCACTTTGGGAATTGCAGCTGAAAGCTAATATTGACTGGAGGGGGAGGCAGGATGTGGGTTGTTGGGCGGCCGACCAGGATAGCAGTTGGAGAACCAAGCCTCTCATGGCAGCGCTATTGCCAGGGTTGGCTGAGCCCCTCGCAGCGAGCCAGGTCAGTGCAGCCGTTGGGCATCGTAGCTAGGAACCCTGTGCCACCCGCATTTGCTCAATTCTGGTGCTTTGAATGCTGCAGCATGGGCCAGTCTCCCTGGTGGCAGAGGGTAGGCATCCCCACAGCTGCTCATGTTCCCATGAAAGTCCTTCAGGGCAACCCTCAGGATCCGCAGCTACTTTCTTAATCTGCTAGATCTCCGTGGCGCCCGCAGCAGAACAAATCGGACCATCAAGCTCTCCATTTCTGCTGCCAGACCTCACCAGTTGCACTGCCACACAGATGGAGAAGGGGCTTGGCCTTCCCTGGCAGCAGTGCTGCTACAAGGGGCTTGGTTCTACAGCTACCACCCTGCCTAGCTGCCAGCCACCCACATCCCACTTTCTCCTCCCACCAAAACTAGCTTTTGGGGTGCAGTCCCCAAAATGACTCATTTGAATCAGTTACCCAGAAGCACAGAGCGAACGCCTGCTGCGCTGCCCAAGCTGGGACCAAAGGAGGCCTGTGAGATTTCACTTTCTCACAGACAATTCCGTCTGTGTATAAAAAGGAGTGTGTGTAAAGATTTGTGGCAGGAATGTTGTAACTTTAAACCATCGCTAAGTGAACTGTCATAATTCAAGGATTACTTGTAAAAGATTATAATTATATATGCATTTAACTTGTGTAGTATCACATAAATTTAAAGAAGGCTTTGCTATGCCAGCTAGTTCTAGAGCATATTCAGAGTTAAAAACAAATACATATGCACAACAAAATTAATCTAATGAAACTCAAGAGTGAAATATATTTTCCAGTATTTTTCATTTTGCTGGTATCAAATCTAAGCTTACTCTTAAACCTGAGATTTCATTTAGGTTTTTTACGCACAATATTTATTGATGGTCAAATTCTCCATTTATTGACCTTTTCAATTTTGAACTTGACTTTATACGAAAGGCAAAAGTGAGAATATGATGCTCCCTGCAGAGTTGAGTATAGAAAATAAACTAGCCTTTCCCCTACTTTGTACTTATTAGATTGGTGGAGATTGGTGGTACCAAAAATAATGATTTGACAATATATTGTGCCAAAGTTTGCTAAATGTCAGTGTTTATGAGAACACCAGACAATAATAGTGTACATGGTAGAGGTACAATAAAAAAGTTACTGCCTTTGAAAAAAACATTTCTGCCCATCTGTAGTTGCCAAATAAAATGTGGATAAGCTAAAAGGCTTTTGGAACAATGTTTTGTGGATGGATTAGAGCAAAATAAAATGAATCAGGTAGATGTCAAATAGCATTATTTTGCTTAAATGAAAACATTTTGGCAAAAAACAAATATAGGTAGTCCTCGAGTTACGAATGAAATGGAGCCTGCCTATTCCATTCGTAACTCAAAGACTCATAGGAGTGAATCTCGTACCTTGAACGCGATCACTCCCTGCTTTCACTCATGCATTCGCTAATAGAATGTGTGGCTCATTAAGTGCACATGCAGTATCTCAGGGTGGGAAGGCCATGGAGAGGCCTAGTGATGGAATAGGCCACCTGCTTCAGACCACCCAAGGCCTCTCTCCTGACCCACTGAGATACCTCATTCTGCAGTAGTGGCAAATATCTGTAGCTAAGGTATAGGATGAGGGTGAAGATTCATTCTCTGAGCTTGAGGGTTGGTTTCTGAACATTTTATTATCAGGTTAGGTAACATCTTCAACTGTTTAATGGATGTCTACTTATGTCTACTTATAGTGGATGTCTCCTTATATAAGAGCTTCAGATATGAGAATGTCAAGTGAGGGTCTTGTGATAGGGAGACTATGTCAGATCAGGGTTGTTGGAGGGTATGAATTAGTGGGTCAGGAGTGAGTGATCAGTGGAGGCTGGTAATGGGTCGTGTTGGGGAGACTATGTCAGGTCAGGGTCATTAGAAGGTGAACTGGGGGAGAAAAGAAGCTCCCCCCCAGCAGTTCACCTTCCAATGACCCTGACCTGACATAGTCACCCCATCACAAGACCCTTTACCACCCTCACACTGATGAGTGTTTGCATGCTGAAGAGAGGTTTGGGGCAAGCCTCCCGTTGTGTGCAAACACTTTTTGCGCAGACACTGGAAGCTTCTGGATGCCCTGATCTTGTGGGACATTAGGCACCCATTCTATGCAAAAGCAGATAGGTGCCCGAGCATGAGATCATGGCCCCCCAGAAACTTTTGGCCTCTGGCCAAAAAGTGTTTATGTGCTGCTTCAAAGAGCCCCATAGAGCTGGAGGAACCCTTTGCCGCCAAGAATGGAGCCCCCAGAGGGAGTGGGTGTCACTCCAGGTCTCCTTGAGGCCTCTGCTGCCGAAAACGGAGCCCCGGGTTGGCGCACACGTCACCCCCACTTTCGTTTTGCACATTAGCCCGGGGCTCTGTTATCGACTGCAGAGGTCTTTCATGAAGGCCTCTGTTGCCAAGAACGGAGGTCTGGGGCAACGCATGTATCAACTCAGGTCTCTGTTCTCAGTGGCTGAGGCCTTTCCTGAAGGCCTCTTCTGGCAAAACAGAGGCCAGAGACAACATGCGTGTCAACCCAGGGCTCCATTCTCGGCTGCAGAAGCTTTTTGCAGAGATGGCAAAAGGCTTTGCAAATGGAGGGAAGGCTTCAATGTTTTGCCACAAATTTCGTATAGGTGCCCTTTTGCAGAGAACAGAGGCCTAAAGTACCGTGAGATCACGCGAGATCTGAGATCTCGTACTACTGGTCTCACATGATCTTGCAGTCAGGCCCCCTTCTCTATGGTTGCACCGAAGGCCTGAAACACCGAAAGAGCCCAAGAAAGCAAAGCCTCTCAATCTTTGCAAGGTGAGTATCCACAGGCCCAGTGACTATGAAGACCTGCTGGCGGCAGCTGGGGAGGGAATAGCCAGAGTGAATGTTGCAGTGCTTTTGAGGTTGTACATAAGCGTGAACAAGTATCGTGGTGCTGCAACATTTCGGGACTTGTTCGTAAACACTAGGGGATGCTTATCACGTAACTTCGAACATTCATTAAGGAACATTCATAACTCTGGGATTACCTGTATAGTAGTCTGCCAAAAGAACCTTATCCTATCTGTGAAACATAAGGTGGCAATATGATGGTTTGGGCCTGCTTATCTATCTCTCGACCAGGATGGCTTGCTATCGTTAATAAATTGTGAATTCCAAATTGTACTGGCAAATTCTACAAAAAATGACAAATTATCTTTCTGTGAAGTGAAGCTTAAGAGAAAATGAGTTATGCAGCAAAACAATAATCCAAAACACAATAAGTGCTACAACCAAAGAATTATTATAGCAGAAGAAAGTTAATGTTCTGGAACTGACCTAAATCTTACAGTAATGTTGTGGAAGGACCTGAAGTGAGCAATCTGTTCAGGAAAGCCCGCTATATTCCTGATGTGAAACTGTTCGTAAGATGAATGGACTAAAATACTTTCACATTGATGTGCAAAACTGATCAACAACAATTATGGGAAATGTTTATACTGTACTTACATTTTTCAGCATATATTTACTGTAAGAGTACATAAAATATTCCAGTTATGTGCTACTTGCCATTTGATATTAAGTAGCTCTTTTTTTACCAAATTATTTTCCCTTGACAGATGTACTTTTTGTTTTTAATTCTACTTTAGAAACAGACTAGGTTGTCTTCACTATAATTTGTTAAACTGTACTACATTTGATTCTTGTGTTTGTAAAAATGGCTTTTACTAAAATTTGGTGTTTGAATAGAAACAGATTTTAAATTGTGGACATTACATTAAATTATAATCTAAAATTATAATTTGGATTTAGAAGGGAAAAGTGTGAAATGCTTATTTCATTTGTATTTTTCAGATTACAAACAATATTTATGAAATTTGATGAAGTAAAAAATAGCGACACTATGATTTCAAGCAATATCAGTGGTGAGTAACTACCAGCTTATATGACTTTGGTACTAAAAGTAATCAATTAGGTAACTTTGGTGTTAAAGGTAATCAATTTTAAATGAATATGTAAAATGAAAGGAGTTTAGAGTCTTATAATCTTAACTAATCTTTGTTTAATCATAAACGTTAGACATTAATTAAGGTAATATAATTGAAGAAAGTGTGTACTCTTTGAATGCATCACAAACTGTATTGCTAGTATTTCTGTATCTATAATAAGAAAATCTTTATAAGATTAATATTAAAATTTCTTTTTCATTTATTGATAGAAGTAAAAGATCCACAATACCAGTAGTAAGTTAGCATCATTAAATGCTTACAGGCTTTACAGTATCTTTTGAGATTATGGTCAGTTTTTGCCCACACTGATCAATTTAAGATAATAATTTTCTGATTTTAAAGATTTATGAATGTTTTGAAATTTCATTATTTAATTTTATGATCATTTGTACTCCTTGATGTTTCTATTTTGCTTGTAATTTCTGAAGCATTAAAGGTAAAAGTTTTTGTTTTGTTTTTTTATGTAGCGTAGCGTTTAATGGCTTGGATTTAGACCTAAGGAGGCTCAGGTTCAAATCCTCAGTTAGTGACAGAGTTCATGGATGGTCTTTATTCAATGTCTTCAGTCACTTCAATATAGTCTATCTAAAAAAATATTATAGGATGAAACAGGGGATTCACAAGGATGTAGTTACAATTTTCCAGAGCATCCCCTTCCTCAGGATGTAAATATAACAAATATATAAAAATAGGATAACACTATTTTCTCACTGTTTCAGAAACTTTTTTTGCACTTTGATCACTTTATGCAGTTGATGAAAAATCTTGTCTCTAACAACTTATTTATATCAAAGAAAGTATGCTTCTATACCAGTGGTGGCGAACCTTTGGCACGGGTGCCAGAGGAGGCACTCAGAGCCCTCTATGTGGGCACGCGCACCATCGCCCCAGTCCTAGGCCTTCAGCTGGGTTTTATAAAACATTTTTGTTTTAGGCCTCTGCCGCCATGTGCAAAAAAAAAAGGTTCAGTCAGTCAATTTCAACTTCTCACGGGGAAAAAAAGATCTTGCAAAGTTGGAATTAATTGATTGAACTTTTTAGTCCCACCCAGTCTGCCGTTATCACCACAGCCACGCCCACCCAATTGGCCACACCCAGCCAATGGGCCACACCCACCCAGCACTCAATGATGCATAAGTGGGTTTTGGGTTGCAGTTTGGGCACTCAGTCTCTAAAAGGTTCGCCGTCACTGATCTATACATTACTAAAATTCTGTGTTTGATAGTTTATAACCTTCAATTGGACTAAATTGGAAGTATACGGCAACAGTTATTGAGTCAAAGTAACTCAAATAGCCTAGCTTACAGAATGCTAGAACCCGTGACTCCAGTGTAAATTAAATTTGGGGAAGTTGTTGTCACTTCAGTACCAATGTGTTGCTGCTGTTCACTGCTGCTGCAGTCAGCTGCAGTCATGTGATCCTCATTCCTTGACAGCTTCCCACAAATTGATGGGGAAGCCAGAAGGAATTAATATGATTGCCAGTGCTGGTTACCATCTTCCTACTAGCAAAGTTTTTGGAAGGGGAAATTAAGTGGAGAACCTGACAGGGAAATGTTAAAGTTGCTTGGTAAGTCTCCTACTCCTTCTGCACATTCTCTACTAGTCTTGTTAATTCCTCTATGCTCATGCTATGCTCAAGCAATCTCTTGCTCTCTTTCCCATCTGGCAACAGCCATACCTGAAGGAAAAGAATGGAAAGGAGAAAAGAGAAAGGAGAGGGAAGGGGCATGGAGAAGGGGAAAGAGTTTCCAATGCTCCCTACCACCATTCCACAAGCAAAGTCAATGGGATCTGCATCATGCCCAATCTGCTGGATCAAGTTGTACAAATAAAGACTTTTGAAAAAAAGACAATTCCACAGTAGTCCAGTCCCAAGCAATGTAGGTTTAAGGTAACCAACACCTTGAATGACACTCGGAAATACACTGGTGCCAGTGCAGCTCATGTAGAACAGGGCTCTGTTTTGGGCCCAGTGCTTTTTAACATCTTCACCAACGATCTGGACGAGGGGATAGATGGGGAACTCATCAAATTTGCAGACGACACCAAACTGGCCGGAATATCCAACACTCCAGAAGACAGGCTTAGGATACAGAAGGATCTGGACAGACTTGAACACTGGGCGCTATCTAACAAAATGAAATTAAGTGGTGAAAAAAGTAAGGTTCTACATTTAGGCAAGAAAAACCAAATGTACAGGTATAGTATAGGGGGTACCTTGCTCAATAGTAGTAACTGTGAGAGGGACCTCGGAGTCCTAGTGGACAATCACTTAAATACGAGCCCAGCAGTGTGCTGCAGCTGCCAAAAAGGCCAACATAGTGCTAGGCTGCATTAACAGAGGGATAGAATCAAGATCACGTGAAGTATTAATACCACTTTACAATGCCTTAGTAAGGCCACACTTGGAATACTGCATCCAGTTTTGGTCACCACAATGTAAAAAAGATGTTGAGACTCTAGAAAGAGTACAGAGAAGAGCAACAAAGATGATTAGGGGACTGGAGGCTAAAGCATATAAGGAACGGTTGCTGGAATTGGGTATGTCTAGTTTAACGAAGAGAAGGACGAGGGGGGACATGGTAGCAGTGTTCCAATATCTCAGGGGCTGCCACAAAGAAGAGGGAGTCAAGCTATTTTCCAAAGCGCCTGAAGGCAGGACAAGAAGCAACGGATGGAAACTAATCAAGGAGAGAAGCAACCTAGAACTAAGGAGAAACTTCCTGACAGTTAGAACAATTAACCAGTGGAACAACCTGCCTCCAGAAGCGGTGAATGCGCCAATACTGGAATTTTTAAGAAGAGACTGGACAGCCATTTGTCTGAAATGGTGTAGGGTTTCCTGCCTGAGCAGGGGGTTGGACTAGATGACCTCCAAGGTTCCTTCCAACTTTATCGTCATCATCATCATCATCATCATCATTATTAATAGTGGTGTTACATTGTGCAGTGTATCCAACACCATTTACTACCTGTGCAGCCCCATTCTGCACCAGTTGAAGTTTCTGAATGGCTACATGTAGAGTATGTTCCAGTAATCTAAGTGAAAGGTTACCAAGGATATGGGTGATGGTAAGACCTGACCTTTCAATCGCTCCTGACTGAGAATTGCAATCTTCAAAATTGTCTCATCTCCATAAGTGTGCGAAGATTGTATTGGGTCCTTCCTAGTCTCCCCTTCAAAAAACAGGGAGCTCAATCACCAAATAATCAGCTTTGATGGTAAAATCTGCTGTTCAAAACAGTCACTCACCAACCAGCACTCCATCTGGGGGGAATGTACGGAGAAGAAATTATTTGTATTTTTAATGAGTTGTAGCCTGAAGAACAAAAAGGTTGTTCACCTTTTTATTTCCAGTGCAATCTACTGATAGTGACTGAACCAATTTTGTTACATCTTATTCCAAAAGTTCAGGAATTTATTAGATTGAGAGATAGTAACTCACTGCCCATTTTCCTGTGAATTATATGATTGAGAAGGGATCTTAGATCTTCTTGGTTCTTATTTTAGATATGTATTTCAATTGCAACTATAAGCAACATCCTCTTATTCAATTTGTTTCTATATCCTTAGTGCATTCCTAGACCTTTTTTTCTTAAGGAAAACAGAGTCTCAATACATATGTGGGTGAAAGTATATTGACTCAAAATTTGAAAAATGTCTGCAGTTAAATTTGTGAGTCTACTTTAGTATACAAATACATTTTACTGTAGGTCCTAATTTAAATGGCTTGCTGAATTAAATATTTGAATTATGCTTTTATTTTATATTTGTAAAACTTTGGTGGGAAATGTATTCTGCTTTTATGAATAGCTATGAAATGGGAGTCTTGTTGGCAAGTAGAGCACTGCAGGCTTGCTCTTACTATGTGGTTGATTCAGATTTATGTCACTGACTTTATCTGAAACAGTGGTACAGCTTTCTTTGAACAGAAAAGCCTTTTACAATGTGCCTTTGACGTGATTGTTTACAGCAGCCCGAGATAGTTGTGTACAATTGGAGACTGAGAACACAGAAGAAAAGCAACAGAAAGACAAGGGAGGGAAAGCCAAACAAAAATGTTCTATTTCTGCCTTATGTGACTGTTGGAAAATTTATTTTGCTGATCTTTTTTGGCTATAGTATGATTTCACTAGATTCTATTACACCAATGTAAATCAGATAATCATTTTGGCCATGTGACTAATCCTGATTATACATGAATCCTTAGGGATTGTAAGCAAGATATGTTTCACAAACACATGCCTTGTGTTTTGATGATTGCATTAAAAGCCCTTGTGGAATGAATTTCATTGGTTGTAAGCAGATTCTTCAAAGAAAAAAGGCAAGAACAAGGATAGAAATAAAGGAGGAGGGGAATCTTACTATAATACTGAAATGCCTCATTGGTATCAGCAGTAATGAGGTTTATTGTAATAGATGGAAGGAGTTTCCTAAAACAAGCAGGACTTTTATTTTGAAGTGGCATAGCAGCTGTTGCTTGTTGCAGTATAAAGCTGCAGATCTGACTGGGTCACACAGTGCTGTGTCTGTTTTCATGCTGCACTGGATTGAGAGTGGCGCAGGAACATACAGTCTTGTACTGTATTTAGCTTCCTTGAAAAATCATTTGGTAATATTTTAACTGAACAATGGCAGTTGGAGATGGTGAGTACCACTCAGTTTAAGTGGGTTTTTTATTATTTAAACATAATTGATCATTTAATGATAAAAAAATTAAAAATAATCCTACAGTTGATATAATTAAAATAAAGATTTGAATTTGGTGCACTTGCATATTGAAAAACCTTGCTAAGCATATCAAACATGTATACCATAATTTATTTAAGATTTTTAATGGTTTTAAATTAGGCTTAAGCAGACGCACAAGTAGTATGCATCTAGAATAGCTCTGCTTTCAGTTTTGCATCTA